CCCGGTTATCAGGTTACGATTAGTTTTGTTTGGTCAATAAACTGTTAAACTTGGATGTTAGGTCATGATGATTGAGTATTCAAAATCTTAGCTGACAAGGTAACAAAATTGTGGTCCATGGAACAATGAAAAGTGATCATTTAAAAACGCCTGACTAGCATCTTTGGTTGAAGATACGACTAGTTCTCTAGTTTGACAGCTAGCAACCAGTAGCACCTTCTATATTCGAAGCTTTCCCAACCAATCGAAATCAGAAGTCAGATGCGAAGAGATCGGAAATATATATTTGATACGCTATCAATATATGGACAAGCGTTTGCTCTATTCTGGCTAGTGAACATAGGAGCCGTGTCTCACGCTGGTTCGTAACGTGATCCGGTACGGATGCATGACCGAAAGCTTTCAATTAAACAAGTCCACCTAAACAAATGTGGTCAGCATCCAATGTCGAACACTTAATGAGCTATTGATTTTGGGGAATTATTTACAGCTTCATGGTCATTGATTTGTCCAGTAAATCTTATTTGGTGAAAATCAATGGTTCCGTTTCAATCTAAAACTTACAGTAGGCTATGTAGCATGAATTATTCCTGACGATGAGAGTCTATAATTTGGAGTCTTTCTTGAACGTGTTCGGCAGACGGATTTCCATTCACGTACTGAGTTTGGGAATTTATCTCACTGATAACTTGATGAGAAAGTTGGCCCAAGTAACATGACATCATGCGGCGGCCATGTGATTACGGGGTGCGAGTTAGCTGATGTTATTAAAACCCTTTCCGAAAGATCATTGTCTTCTTGCGGACAGAGACTGTGTGCTCACATGCAGTACGTGGTTTTAGGACGGGCAAACACCTAATACAAATTCGTGGAGGCTTTAACATCCGCGTTGATAGAGGTCGGAGGTTCGTTTCAGTATACCTGTGTATAGGATTGGAGAAAATGAGACCGTAAACGTTTTCTGTTAAGCCTTTTCCTTTTTTTCCTCTATTTGGATCGTTTGCTCTGTTGTTGACACATATTTAGTTTTCTTTTTTTTTATTTTTACGAGTATTCTTGCTAAATCGTTTGTATTTATGAGTTTTAGACAGACTGTTTGTTGTTGACAGTGTTCTGACTGCTACGTCTTTCTAAATTTCAAGTCTTCTGAATGTTTCGTGGTGAACATATTGTGAAGCTCCTACTTGTCTGATTCTATTCGGCCTGTTGTTTTACTTCTGTTTGTGACAGAAGGAAAATATATTTTCGGTTGTATAGATGAAGTATTGTTTCGAACAGCCAGTTATTTATACGTTTTTCATCTCAAAATTATCATTTCATCATTGTGATTGTTCGTTGAAAAGTTTTCGCATTTTTCCTTCAAGGTAGTGTCTTGCTTTTTAATTGAAGGGAACTTGGTTCCACCACACCGAGTAATTGTATTATTTTCTTACGGTTTGACCGTTTAATGTGTAGTAAATCGACGGGTGAAAATTTTTGTACATTGTGGTTTAGCCTGTCAGAGACGGCATTGTTAAAATTTAATTCATCTGACTTTGTACCTATATCCACTGTTCCGGTACTACGTTTAAGAGCACTTTAGCACTGTTTTCTACGTTGGTATGCTGGAAATAATCTTGAAAACAATCTGCTGCACGGAAACTCATCAAATTCCTTATTTAAGTTGATAGAGGCCACATCTTTAGATGCTTCATCACCATTAAAAAAGTAGGACTTATTGTGGTCTTTTCCAGTCACCTGGTAATCTACTTTAGATTACATAAAGGTTAAAATATATGCCCAGATGTTTCATAATGCAGCTTACAGGTCCCCTCAGTAATCTAAAACTTATTTCACTGGATGAAATGGATCTAACCATATCAAGTATATTTAACAATACTAACAGTGACTTTTCCTAAAATACCATGAAAATGCCACAGGCGTTTTTAGTTTGATAATATTTTAACCAGCAACACCTTCTACAATTGAATCGTGCCCACCCAGTGAAATCCAAAATCAAAAGCGAGGATGTCCGATGATGTAAGTTATCAATATATAAGAAGTGACTGATGTAAACTGGCTAGCGATCGCAGGAGAAGTTGAGTACGGCGTTCCTACTCGTGACCTGGTGCGGATGCATAACCGACCTCCTTCGGCCAGGTCAGCCCATTAAAATCAATTCTGTCAGCATCAAATGTCAAAAACTTACAGAGCTATTGATTTTGTGGATTTATTTGCCGCTGCTACCTGTATATTAGCAGATCAAATATAGTGAGTTAGTTGATTGTCACAGCATCCAGTGTGTGAATAGAAGGGCTTATTTGTAATCGATGGAAGGGCGTCTTTGCAGTTTACATCCTGATAAACTAGTCAAAGAATAACTGTAATTTAACTTATCCATCCCAAAAATTTCGATGAAGTACAAGCACCTTTGAATAATCTCATGATTTCGAATTTCCTCGCCATCCTTTGGTTTGTGTACGAATGTAAATGTTTCCTATATCCCATAAACTCTTCAACAAAGTTTCCTTCGTACAACCTTCTGAACACGGATAAGGAAGATATGAAAATAATAAAGGACACCCAGGTTTTGGTATTTTGTCTCATAAGTGAATTAAATCTGTACCACAAATGTTTTTAAAAAAGGGCATTGACATTCTTACCAGCAGATGACATGTATTTCAGATTTTTGACATAGTACAAGAGACGTGTCGTGCTAAAACGCTTATGTAAAATGTTTTTAAAGGCTTTCAAAGAAATTCCTCAAGATAATTTGTTTTTATGCGAAAGGTTTACAATGCTTTTTATTTCATGGAATTATTTACCGCTACAATACTTATTTAAACAGCTCATTTGAAACTGCTGATGAACCACTGAAAACGTGAACTAAGCTTCGTTGAGAAGAAGTTTTGTATTTACTTGAAACTCTAGAAAAACAATGGTAATTAATCAATTTATCTATTGATCCTAGTGTCTAAAGATAAACTACTCTTTCATTTTACAGATATATTAATTTCAAACTACTCAATGAATCTAGCATGATAACCAAAGTTGAGTGGTTTCTCTGACCACAATGTACATTAGGAAGTGTATTTAACTGTATTGTGTATTGAATCGAATATATGCTCAGCGTTTCTTCAAAATTGTGTCCTTGAAGCTAAATGAAGTTTCATAGGTTCCCTCTTTAAAAGTACTAGACGGTAAGTTATTGATTGTGACATGTTTAGTAATTCAAAGCCTTTTCATTAGTGTTTTTGTTTGTATGATTCACCCATGAATTGACACTGAATATACTTACGGTCCTACAGAATAAAACTTGGGGGAAGTAATGTATCAGGACGACCTTGAGCTCTTTTCCGCTCAGAAGTTTTTGATTATGAAGTTATTTCTGACTTGAAAGTAACACAGATATAATCGGTCAGTGGATTGTATACAAATAACCATCATTTTCACGTAAGCTATCGGGTTTTCATCAGGAGATATTTTCATTTATAATGCCTGAATGAACTCTGAGCAACGTCATTAGTTTGTCAATATTACCTTGTTCATCAAAACATGTAAGGAAAATTTGTCGATGAAAAAGTCACTTGATACACCATCAGCATTCAGTTAAGTAACACTGGTTTGCGGGTTTCCCATAATAATTTCTTTCCGTTATTTTGCATAGACAGGAACCATCATTTCTTTGCTGTTCTTTATTTTACTTATTGATATTTGAGGCTATCCTGGACGAAGTTCCGATAATGACAATTTGTAGATCGTACGTTTAAGCACTCAAACCTAAAAATCTTTGGGATGTCCATTACGTAACAGGTTAGGAATTAAGGACTCGGTTTTGGATAGTTTTCAAAGAATACCAAACCCTAAAACAGATCTATATCCACAGTCGTTGTTAAATGATGCAAGTTTTTATTTGCTATTTGTTTCGATTCGAGGATATCTAATTATAGAATAATCGGCGAGACTATAATTTGTGGACGAAGCAATCATATTTAGGATGACAGGTTTTGGATTTTGGCGCGAAACTCATTCATCTATTTAGCTAACTAGCGTTTTAGCATTTTAGTTGATGTCAATTCGTAATGAAAACCATAAATCTAATTCCTAACCCTAACCCTCAACTGTAAATTCTAATTCCTCACACTAGTTAATAATCATTTAGTCCTAGTAGCTGGACAGTCTCAAGATTACTTAAACGTCGCTCAAGGGTTGTCTATAAATTATAGTCTCCGAATAATCGGTAGGTAGATATTGTTTCGATGCTTGGAAGGAACACCTGAAAGTCTAAATCAGTAGCACTAAGAGGTTTTTTAATGGCCACAATTTGATGTCTCAGTCACACAGTGACTTGTCTGTAGCTCTTTACAAGGATAAAAACAGATCCCAAGTTAGAGGATTAGGTAGATTTTTGATAAGATATGACGATTCGGGTATCCTATCATTCTTCAGTTAATATATTATAGTAAACCCAGTTTTCAACTACTAGGTTTTAGGTTTAGAGCCTACAACACCTAATTTATATCAGGCTACTGAGTATCATCATTAACTTTTACACCAGTAATGTTTTCACTTCTTTTCGAATCTCTAAACATCGCTGCCCTTATTTCAGTTCAAAAATCGTTGTCTGTAATATATATTATTCTTGTCCATTTTTGATTATCCGGCCTTTTTCTTTCTATTTTAATATCATCCTTTCGATTTGCGTAAAATTCTCAGTATCATATTGTGCAAAAATGTTCCATTACAGTTAGGTACAGTTTAGTTGTCACTTTAAAACATGCAATTCCATATGAGATATTTGCACATAGTGTTTAAGGTTCTTCAGACCAGACTACCTTATATGTCTTGGTCGACTTGCTTTTACACTATCACTAATCATCTGTTCGTTGACTGTAATCTATTTCATACCAAATCTGTTTCTTTCAAACCATACGACTTCCCTTCTTTTTTAAAATGTAACACAGAGACGTTTTGTAACCTTCAAGTGGATCAAAGCTGCTTACCAAAAATCATATCCGTTTATGGTAGAACCACCTCTCCGCCGAAAACGTGCGTTATCGTTCGCTGGATACTCCGAGGCAAGTCTGGGGTACAACTCTTGTTTAATTAATTTATATTTTTTCCACCTGAATGCTATTAACTTTTTATATTAACTACTCACTTTTGATCAAAAATTATATGTACGTCACAATCACTATCTAATCCTAATGCCTTTCCTATTAACGTTATTGCATAAATCGAGAACTTTTTTGGATACTACGAACCTCGAAATATATAACGAACTTTTGATAAGTCCACTGAACTTTTTTCCCTAGAAGTTGAGGTTCTCTGTTTGTTGTCTTTTGCAATATTGCTTCCTCTTAGTTGGACCATTCAGACAAAAGATTTGTGGTAAACCTACCCCATGATACAAACTTAATGGACAACCTAGTACTGTAGTTTAATTGAATTTCAATTAATCTAGCAACATTTATTTATTTATTGAGACACATAAATATTGGTACAAGGGGGCACTAGGTATATATGTGCAGCACAAATCTCATTTGACTTGTGTTAGGGCTGTGATGCTGCCCATGTGGTTTTCTTAGGGAGCCACACCCGGAGCCTTTGGCCTGAAGGTCTGATCCACAAGGCAGTGGAGCATCTTGAAGAGATGCAATCTCATGGTAACCGAAGACCAACGATTAATTCATACGCCATTTGTTCCCTCAGGATACTGGAGCCCATGTGCACCATTGGTTTGGAATCAGGGTTTTCCAACTCCCTTAGGTGGACTTTCCGTGTCCAACAACTCGGTTAAAGCGTCGGACATTCGCTTTTCGTTCTCTTAATTTTGTCAACAACACCTGTGGCGCGAGAATTCAGTTAGTAGGCTCTCCCTGGCAGTGGTTGTATGCACGTGGCCATGTGAGAGCATTTTGAGAGGGAGAGCGGAATCTCCACACTCTCGGCCGCACCAGGGTATTTAGGGGCAGTAATAAAGTCATGTTAATCATCCTTCCGCAGGATAACTCTGATGTCTCCTCATTTGTAGATAAATCTTTCGCCTTTTATTTACAACAACAACAATTTTATAGTCCAATATACATTGTGACTCATTTTGGTTGTCCACAGACTGTAAAAGTTTATGGTATCAAGAACAGTTGAACTTATGTGTTTCCCCCTGCCTTCTAGACATGAAGAGTACTAATGACGCTTAGAAAGTGGTCAGGATTTTTTACCCAATGTGGCCATGTTTCTTTAAATGTGTAGAAGCATTGATTACTTCATTTGTTTAGGTTGTGCTGTCATATAATTTTTCACGGGATCTGATACTAACTATGGAGGGGAGTCATTTGAAATTCACTGCCTTCCCTTCTCCACACAGCGAATATCATTGATATGTCTGTTCGGTCACTAACACTCGAGTGTGTTGCAAGAATGCATGTTGTTTTCTCATCCACTTGACAGCAGAAGTTTTATGATTTGTGTAACAGTTGGACGTAAACGTTGGTAAGTCACAGTCCCAGGCTAGTTTACTAAGCAATATCACATAATGGGACAGTATTATTTACTTTTCAGTTAATCATAGACAAGGACCTGACAAAACTATTCATTATTCCAAGTTGCCACTGTTTGTGTCAGCACTGAAATTAACACGACGAACACGAGAAGGATCAAAGTGGTCATGATTTTGCTAATATCAGAAAAATATACATATAGAATATAGTTTAAGAGGAGTCCATAAAATTGAGGAATAAATTGTGTGAAGGGATTCTGGGGATGTAGAGGGGAATGAAGTATGAATAAATCTCCCCAACCTCTACTGTAGACTACTTTCATTTTGCTGATCCCGACTAGAAATTCTGCGACTCTAAACACTATTTAATTCAATGAATAATAACTTCTCAGTCCGATGTGTAACATCTTAGTTTCGAACCATATTACCTTCTGAGCCATTTCTATACAAGCTCCAGTCGCACGTTGGAGTAGCCGGTGACTTGTATGTATTATACCTGCCTAGTCGGTGAGGCTTTCAGAATCTTTTCAATCGATTTACTATTTCTATATGGTACTACATACCTTATCTCAGCAGTGTTAATTTGGTAGATCTGTTAAATGTGAAAAATTTCAGACGGGATTTTTCGCCAAATGCTTATGATGTTTGGATATCTTTTATCTACAAGTACCATAAACTAATACGCAAAAAAAGTCTTCACAATTCGATCTCTCTTTGGTATGCACATGAACTTGTGTTCTGTACCACAGGTAAGGTTTGTAGAAAGCTATTCACTTACATTATGACCAAGAATCAGTATGGGTGGAATAGATATCGTATATGAACATTTCTGATTTTCGGGAGATATATCGATTGTTATAATTTTTAGTAACCTAATTTATAGTAAATATTTCCTACTGTCGTTTAGCTCCCCAAGCTTTCTGGCAATGTTCATTTTGGACAGTTACCTACCGCCTTCCGAATTCGTCATCCATCTTTCGTCTATCCTGATGGTGATCCAGCTCTTGATCAAGTCTTGGGGGGTTTTTCACAAAAGTTAAACAATAAACAAAATGGGGTTTTAACGTCTGAAGGCTCATCAGATATCAAAGATTTTGGAATAAATGGTCGTGATTTACATTCAAGAAACTCCTCAGTCGCTACAGTCGTAGACCATCCACTACATAGTTGTATTTCGACTCCCGAAATTTACCCTAAAGTACCAAGTTCCTGTTCTGATTCAGTAACCAAACTGGCTCAACCACTTAGTTTATCATCCTCTAACTATTCAGATTATATTCTTCCTGATAGTCCATTGTCTTCGAATCTTGTTAAACTCTACCTTGCCAAGGTTAGTATTATCCACTATTTGTTGTCATCGTTACATACGTATTACTGGAAATTGGAAATAGTGTTTTAAGAAATAATTCTGTTAATACTGTAATCCCCTGGATACTTTGATTGGAATTTGTTTCGAACTGTTGACCAGTTGTTCGGAAATATAGTCATAGGTCTCCAATGTATATTCTATTCACTGCAGTCTAAGGAGTGGTGTAGCATCTGTAGCCTTCTCATACTAATTATGTGAGGCATTGGACAAGCGGCTGGGGCACGGAGTGGGGAGTGAGATGTTTGTCCACTCCTTTGTATTTGAAAGTGTAACCTATTGGCTAAATAATTCTTCAAATTTCTAAGAAGAATATAAACGTTGTGGTATATCATCAATCTGATAATCCCTTTGAATCTTGATAAAATAAAAAAAACGAGTATTATTAATCCTTTTTTGTTAATCAGTCAGTCAGCTACAACGTAGGACCAGGCATACATATGCATCGGTCCAAGTTGCTATGCCTCACAACAAGATGAATAGAAGTAGTTCATTTAGTGGTGGTAATATATAAAAGAAAGATTGTATATAAGGATATAGTACAAGAAGAAAGACAGATATGAAGCAATTTTAATCTCAAGGTTTAAGGGAAGTGTTAAGTCGGTTTCCAGAGAACTCCAACAGAGCCTCCAGAGGCTCAAAAAGAGCTCCAACCAATCAGAGCACGACAGAACATTCTGGAGTTCCAACGTGGCATGCTACCATTGGTCAGTAGCAATTTATGTCGTTAAGTGGATTGGCTGAATTAGGATGTTGATTTAACTTAAGCAAACATCTATAAATACCTACGATTTTCTGTACAAAGCTGAACCTTGCAATAAAGCATCTTCTCGTTACTCGTGTCTTCTCTCTGGTCTTCAAGTCGCTGAGTAGTGCTAGCCTGGGGTTATCTGAATAGCTTAGGATCTGAATAAGCGTTCAACCCACAAGACATATCAGGAAGATAACTAGTGTATACACCTACACCATTGTAATCGATTATGAGCCATGTTACCCAGAGTCTCCAACCATTGGTTACGATAGTCGCGCGAACCCCAACCAAGTAGTCTGCATCTACCAACATGGCCCAGACTTGGAGTTAGCGACTTCAAGCACTGAAGCCATGCTTTAATTTGACTGCCCTGACATTCTTCCAACCATCCCCAATATTAGTCAGCATTGCGCGTTGTGGTAATCGGTGTTCAGGCATACATAACACGTGGCCCAACCATCTCAGTCGATGAAGATTTACAACCTCAACTGATTTATCATCATTCCCTTATACCCTGCGTCTAACCTCACTATTACTTACCCGGTGATCTGTGGTGAAATACTAGTGACTTACGTGTATCTTCTACTCTTAATGGCCACGTTTCACAGCCATAAAGTAGAACAGAGCGAACTGCTGCACCGTATACTCAGTGCTAACAGAAGACTCTGCATTTTATCAGCGTCTACCCCAAACAGGACTACGTCATCTGCGTATTCTAAGTCGATAAGTGGACCTCCTGGTAGGAGATCAATTCCTGTTGACCAGAGAGTTATTTCCAGCAGTAGGTTTTTGATGAAGTTAAACAGAAATGGGGATAGTGGACAGCCTTGCCGGACATTACTTGAGGTTGTAAAATCAGATGACAGTTCGCCATAAGCTCTCACTCGACTATTAGTGTTCGAGTAAAGAGCCTTCACAAGGTTTATGTACTTCTGAGGTACGCCTTTCAATGACAGACACTGCCACAGAACCTCTCGGTCTACAGAGTCAAATGCTGCTTTTGATTCAAGAAAAACTATCATCGTCGTACGCCGATAAGCATGTTTGTGTTCCAAAACCTGATGAATAATGAATATGTGGTCGATACAGCCACGACCAGGTCTAAAGCCAGCCTGATTTTCTCATGTTTTCAGTTTACGAGTCTTAGTTAGGCGCCCGATAATTATTGAGGCTAGTATTTTAGACTTTACATTGGTCAAACCAATTCCTCTATGGTTATTACAGGATGATTTTGACCTCTTATATATTGGGACAATCAGTGATTGCAACCAGTCAGATTAAATTACGGCCAACTCTCAGAGTTTAGCTAAAACATTAGTCATCCTAATCACTAAAAGTGAACCACCATGTTTAAAGACCTCTGAAGCCAATCCATCTGGACCAACTGCTCTTCGTCGTTTTAGACTATCTATAGCCTTTTGAACTTCAACTAGGGTCGAGGGACCTACTTCAATGTTCTATTCAGACTGTCTGGGAATGGTAGGTAACTGTAGAGTAACTGAAGGCCAGCTAAACTGTTCTCTAAAGTGTTCCGCTCACCGTTCTAAGCGTCTGGGCTGAGAGCAGATGAGATTCTCATTTTTTCCCGAGATCGTTTCGCTTACAATTGACTTCTTAATTCCCGTTTCTTTTATTAGTCTTAAGAGTTGCCTACAGCCGCTGCCTTTTCCATTTCTTCTGTTTCCGTTGCCCAACACTGCTCACGATCGTTCCGTAGACTTTTGGTTAACCTAGATCTGATTTTCTTTCGCTCTTCATCGTGTTCAGAGCCTGATGGGATGAGTTTACAAGAATCCACTAGTGCATTGGACATAGAAGAAATCCATTGGTTTTTTGTAACCCTTCTGTTTAAATGACTAATAGATGTTAATGCTGTTTCCACAGCTGTTCATATATCTTTCCAAGCAACGTCTGGGTCAGCCTCGTTTACAGAACTGCCTGGATGTGAACTCAGTTGTTTCTGGAACTTACTTTTGGCTTTCTCGTCCACCAGTTCAGTTGTAATGGATCTTCTTAGTGTAGTTTTTCTTAAGGATTCAATATACCAAGAGACTGATCAAATTTATTCTGGAAAGCCAAATACTTTTAGTTACAGTTTCACATTTTGCTTCTACTAAATAGTCTAAATGGAAATATGAGGAGATGTATATCCATTTTGTACTGATTTCAGTTATTTGTTAAGAAAAAAATAGAAATGCAATGATTTATCCACATCGAACTTATCAGTTATTTACATCAGGCCTATTTTGTTATCCTGATCAAATCAATATTCTGAAATACTTTGTTCAAATTGTCTGCTATTTGATATTTAAAATAAATAAATTGAATCACATGGAATTAAGGTGTCACGTGTATTTTATTTCAAATAAATACTGCCTGCAAATTATATAAGTTGTGTATCTCGTTTGTGCCCAATCATAGCTCTCAGCTCAAGTGAATCCTTTCACTGATTAAACACCATACAAACTCGATTGTTTCACATATTTAAGATTTTTGAAAGACTTCGTGATTTACATAGGATTATAGAGAGATAAATTTTTAATTTACGAAGCAATGTTTTACTGAGACAATTTAACGAAAACATTTATTAATAGTAATGGTTACTTTAAACTGTAGTAGATTTTATTTTTAGGAAAACGTTTATTCGAGTGTATCTGGATGTAAATACTGTTATTGTTGATTATCAGAAATACATGGTAGAAATATGATTTACTGGTGAACAGTAAGATAAATAAATTATATGCATCTGTTGCTTTGAAACTGTGTACTATTAATTGTCAAGATGTTTTCGGTCCTATTATTCGATCTCTAAATTCGGTTATAATAAGCAGCTTCTGCTTTGTGATATATTATTATTATTATTAACGGCTTTATTCAATATTATAATCTGATACAATATAGAATTCTCAGCACGAAAACTCGTTGAAATATTTAGATGGCAGAAACAGGTAGCCCAGGTATTCAAGCAGGCCGCATCGTCGTATTCAAGCAGACCCATCATCGTCTTGCATACGTTGTTATAAATCTTTCATTCTCTTCCAAAATCATAGAAAGTGAATTTTCCTTTTAAGAACCTAAGTGTGAAACTTAAAATTGTATTACTAATTATTATCACTTTTTATCCAAAGGTTGCCACATCAAAGCCTACTGAATATAAATGCCCAAATAATTCCTCTCGATCGAGATCCCCACAGACTTCTGTACAGGATGATCCTCATCGCTTACCAGAATGTTTACAAATCCACCTACCCACTCTGGCTTCTATGATTATACCAGTAAAGCAGATAATTCGAGCGCATACTAACCAGAATAAATCTGAGATGAAGAAATCGGACAAACTTGGAAATTCAATGAATGTTTATTTGAATGGTCGAAATGCCGTAACGGATGCAAGCTATTCTAGCGAATACAGTGATGGTGAACCATGGGGACTCCCGCCTCTCTGTGATCATACTAACACTGGATATCTTTCAGATAATCACCTTATAGAAGCTGTTTCTGAAGCAAAAATGCTCAACATGAGTAAACAACAATTAGAAATGCGCTTAAATATACGACCTGGTTCTAAGAGTATCTCCTCTAGTCGCACACAAACAAATTCAAGTCAGTTTATCTTTTTCTAATATTGACCCGCTAGTGGGTTGTAGGAAAGTCAGTCCATAAGTACATAGCTTATTCGTTTTCTCTTAGTACTTACCCCAAATGCCCTGGTACGGTCGAGAGAGGGGAGAGTCTGCTCTCCCTCTCGAAATGCTCTCATATGGCCACGCGTATATAGCCTCTGCCAGGGAAGTCCTACTCACTGCCTTCTCGTGGCGGGGGTGTTGTTTACGAAAGTGAGAGGACGAAAAGCGAATGTCCGGCGCTTTAACCGGGTTGGTGGACACGGAGAGTCCACCTAGGGGAGTTGGAAAACCCTGATTCCAAACCAATGGTGCACATGGGCTCCAGTATCCTGAAGGAACGAATGGCGGACGAACCTGTCATTGGTCAACGGCTACCATGGGACTGCATCTCCTCACGATGCTCCACTGCCTTGTGGATCAGACCTTTTGGTCAAAGGCTCGGGGTGTGGCCCCCTAAGAAAACCACCTGCTTCAGTCAGGGCACCTGGGCAGTATCACAGCCCACACACAAATTATTTTGTGAGGCGCATATGTAGCTGGTGCCCTTTTGTACCAATATATATGTGTTTAAATAAAAAAATACTCTGAGAATGCTTTTAAGAAATCTAGTTTTATGACTCTTCCGTTGATGTTAGGCTTTAAATCTTTTTGTTTTTAATTTATTTAAGACAAACGGATATTGACATTGACGCGTATAAATTGAGAGTATTTTTCGCCATCAGATACATTTGAACGCTTACATATTGACACAAATGGGCACCAAAACAAATATACACCGCGCAATTAAGGGAATGAGTTTTTTGAAGAAAAAGGCGGGAAGGAATTATATTCAAAACAAATAAATTAGTTAAAGTAACTAGACGGGAGTATTATATAGTGGGAGGAACCATTCAGTCTATAAATTACGACTAGAAGGAATCTTTTCAGTTAGAGAAATTCTTCTTTTATGAAGTAAAAGAAAGTTACGACAGGTTTGCTATTTGTTTCTATTCCAAGGCATGTCTAGTAACGTCTCAAACCACCGCGTTGCACTGTCTCAGACTCCAACCAGGGAGTTGTGATGAACTGAGAGATACCAATCCGATACACGGCTCCGTGTCACAAACTGACTATCTCTCTACTTTTTCCAACCTGTCCCAACCCCGGCAAATAAGGCACGATGTGAAGTTCGCTTGGACAAACATTCGTAGTACATGTCCAAGCGGCCAAAATCAGTGTTTCGCGGTAGTGGCACCAACTCGTTTATCGTAGTCCAACCCGGATACATGTTGCTGAACCTCTTCATTACTAACATGATGTTGATATTGAATGTCAACAATCTTTCTGAGGTAACGATGATTGAACACTGAAATTCCTTTACCATCCTTGACATGGAAAGTGCAAGTTTCACAAACATACAGCAAAACTGCTCTCACTAACCAGTTGTCAACTTGGCCTCTCACAATCAAACTCACATCATGATAGCTGCAGGGGTGGCTTTAATCGGTTTTCATCTCACATAAGTTAATCTCATCTGACAAACCACTAGTATTCATACGCAAGTTGTTCTGAGCATCCAAAAAATCCGTGAAATCATATTAGATTTTCTAATATTGTTTAGTGTACTTGTATTAAAAGCCTTTTTTAAATTGAAATTTTGATGGAAGGAAAAATACCCTTATCACTAAGTAGAGATATACATTACTAAGTGTTGTAAATAACAATTAATAGTTTGTAAAGAATGTAAAATTTTGTATCGCGAAGAATTTCACAAAAGTAATAATGATAGTAAAAACAACGGCAGAACATGTGAGGATATTAGCTTTTAAGAAAGTAGTCGAACTAATGGACAGTAATGAAACTAATCTTAGTGGTTTAGGCGTTCGACTTTCAGCCACTTAATCTCAGGTTCGAGTCCCGCTCCATCTACTTCTGTTTGGAGAAGTATGTAATTCATGACTCATATTCTGTCTTTTCAACACTCATTAACTGGATATACCTTCTGTGCTACAATGGTTGTCAATATTTCTGATATGATCTAAACCAGGTCTTGCTGTAGCAAAGTATCACCATGTAAGCTGTTTACACACATGCCTTTACAAAATACCAGTTTTCTGTTATAGACTGTTTAAAAATACAGTAATTAAAGATTATAGAATCTTCAATATTTCCTAAAGTATATTTTGATTTAGAATTCTATAAGATACTGGGGTGTCATGCTGTTGGTATGTAAAGTGTTTTACTTAGTTTAATTTTTAATGATTAAAAGGTCAAGTTCATTTGTTGAATCACCTGAGATTAATCCATTTTTGAAGTTAGTCCTATTTCTTTAAATTTTGTAGATGTTAACAATATTCGTGTCAAATACTTAACTATAAGTATTTCGATGAATAATAGAACTACTTAAGAGTTTATGGAAATCGTTCAAGTTTATTCAGTACATCACAGATATTCATCAATCCAAGTTGTCACACCATAAATTAGCACAGTGAGGTGAAATTATCAAAGTGAAATATTTCAGAAGTAGTAGCATTACTGTTAAAAGACTAAACATAGAGAATATGATTCAAGAAAGTAGACTGAATTAGCGAAATCAAATGTATCGATCAATTTCGAGACTTAAGTTTAAATGGTAGACAAAGAGTTAATTCATTTGCGCCGCTGTGTCCAATTTTCAACCATTTTATCTGTCTCAAATCTTTTTTCTTTCTTGTCCTTAGGGGAGAATTTGAATCGTAATTACTTAACACCGAAATTTGAATTCACTCACGTTTATGATGGCCTAAAAACATCACCAAATGCATTTCCAAGTTCAAACAAATCGTTTCCTAAGTTTCTGCATAATTCCCATTCAAATTTAAACCTCACGGACGATGATGTCAATGGTGTAAAGTCATCTGTTTGTTATTCAGTTCCTGGTTCACCTAATATTAATTCAAAATATTCTCATTTAATAAGACAGAGTAATTCAAATGAATTCAACGATGATCTTCATCATATTAATAATCCAACCGCCATCAATAATAATAATGATAATAATAATATTAATAATAATAATAGAAATAATCGAACAAGGCGATTTGAACGTTTACGTGATTTTTTGGGCACTTTTAAGAATGATAATTTCTCTAATACAGATGAAGATGATCATTACTTTTACATGGATCCAAAATCTGTAGAACGTAGAATGAAATGTCAAGCTTCAAATATAATTTTACCAGTATCTTTCTAATTCACTTCTTTAATGTTGACAAATTTCCTCTCATTGTTATTTCTTATTTTCACTAAATCATCTGTCGCTATTACAATTCCTTTTCTAATTGTATTCGTAATGTATTTACCTTCGCGTCATTTTAGAGTTATTCAGTGTATTATTCTTTAGTTTGTAGATAGATAGCAATCACAAACTTCAGTTTCTTGTACTTATTTGTTACCTCCCTTTATATTCTATGTATCAACTTAAATTTTTTCTTATCATTTCTTTAATCATCATTATATTTACTATCATTATTTCAAAAATGGTCAAGATTTTTTTAGTTTTCAGCGCCCATTTCAATATGGTTTTCCGTTTTATTTTGTTTATTTTTTTTCGGTTTATTATTAATATTAGTAATTGGGAAGATTATATTTCGAGATGCTTTTTTTGGTTCCTATTCTAATCGTTATTACCATTATTTTCTTTTCGGTTGACATTTTTGGAGATATACCATACACTTCATTACACCACTGATATATTTCAAAATATCTTTTATTACTGAATAGTGTAGCTTTTTGAAAGTGATGGATTGTGTTTTTTTATGTTGATTTTTTAAACGAGTTTCATATAACTGAAACGTAACAGTTCTCAATTGACTGTTTAGTGAATAATGACTGACGTCATGTTTGTCTAGTTCTTTGGTGCTGATATAATTTCATCGATCAAATTCCAATGTGGCTACAAGTCCAAATGAATTGAACGTGAGCTTTTTTGTTATGTTGATATGTCGGAGTTAGTCGAAAGGAAACTATAAACTTGGGTTTATACTAGTTGGCACTGGCTACGAAAATACATCTGTATTCTTGTGAGGTTTGAACCCAAGTTACCCAGCTTCATAGTCTGAGACGTTACCACTTATAAGTTTGGGTAGCAACTGGCTGTACAACTAAAATATTTACATTTCATTGTCCACTGAATAGGACACTGGATACGTGATATTATGCACCGGAAGTGCTTGTTTAATTCTTTTGGTAGTATTATATTTACTTCCCGGTGGTTTTTAAATGGTGAATCTTCAGTGTAAGCTCTATGTCTGTTATGTGTGATTTTCGTAACTAAAACGACTACTGATTGTAATTTCGTTCTCTGGTCGACGGGGACTGATCATTAGTAGGCAGGGAGACAACCGTTACTGTTCGAAGTTTCTAGTCTGAAGCTTAGTTTGGAACGATCATTTGTGTTACGAAATAACTATGCAACACTTCAGTTCAAGTTTAAAAGTATATTCAGTTATCGTAATATGGCAGCTGTACACTCATTAATAAAGTCACTTGCAAAATAGAACTAAAAGAGCTAGGTCTTGAAATGTAAAGCTTCATAAAGGCCACAGTCTTACTTCTAGTCAAAATGTGTTGACACATGGAAATTCTTCATAGTTGGCAATGATAAGCGAAAGTTGTTCTAACGCAAACTAACTATGTAATACATCTATTTTTTATTCCCTCTATTAATGTATCGCAGATTAGTTCCGTATATGCTCTTAGGATTCTCCCTTTGGACATTGCAGTATTAAGAGTCGTCTATGGAATGTACTGGGTTAACATTTAGTTCAGGCCTGTAGCTCAGGAGAAAAACTGTGGAGGTGGAAAACTAATAATGACGGAGTAAGAATGTTGGCTTCTTATCCAAATCAAAGTATGATTCATCAAATGAACAAATGTAAACAGGCACTTCTGTCTACGGAAGGGTATAAGGAGTGAGTAGTTAACGATACGAAAATAAGTGAAATTATATTAATTGGATTACCAATAATGCATCTAATATTTCTTCAAATATAATCTTGCGATTACATATGCAATAACTTTTAAGTTTGGAATGACTCGTCACATAATTTCGGTTTTAATTCTGTTCATGTAATAAGAGCTCTGCGTCGCAGTGTACTCATATTGCTTGTTACAACTAATGTTCTGAGTATAGGTTCCATCTTATTACGGAAACTGAGTATTTTTAAAAACTAAATGTCAGTTATTTTTTGTCATAGTTCATGGTTAGGAGGATGAGAAGATACTTTGAGGAACAATTCAATCGACTTTCTTCTATCCTTCATTTGGATTTACTGTATAACAGCGATTCGAGTATTGTGAAATTTTTTTTTGACTAATGTGGACTCAGAGATCAATTTTGCAAGTCTAAGCGATATTATTTTACCCGAAGATTTGTATATAAGTAATTTTGTGTGAATTTCTGGTTTACTTGACTGGGACGTGGAGTAGATACAACAAATTACCGATAATAAAGTGACCGCGTTAAAATAGTAATAATCTATATTTATTCTGTATATGCAAAAATGATTTTGACAAATAAAATCGATGCACTTTACTTGCACTCTGTTCGTATGGCTTATTTTACATTAATTCTTAACTTAGCCATGTTATTTAAGAATTAAGATGAATAAGTAACAATCTGTTTTAAGCCCAGCAAACCACTTTTGAATTGCTTACTTCATTATTAAATGTGGTGTGAACACTTAGTCAATTAAGCCTTAATACTTTATTTCAAATAAGTAATTATGTCGTCATATCATTTTAATCAAAAACTAAATTAATTAGAATTAGTTTGATGATGTTCTGAGCTTACGTGACCTAATGCATTTTATAATAAATCTTATCATTAAGTGAGTAACATTCTAAAGTTTTTGTGCGAGCGTCTAATTTGAGTGAATTCATTAGATCTCAACACTGATACAATCGATACTTCATCAGAAACTGGAAGGAACAGCCTTTAAATCTGTAGTGAAAGTCTGTTTAATATCCACTTCCTTTTTGGCTCAATATAAATAAAGTTGATAGATCCAGATCAGCATATCATTATATGAAAACAATTTTAAAACCTTGATCTGAGTTTCGACGAGTGAAACAGTTGTCTTCTATTCTCTCGTATCACATTTTTGTTTACAATACTAATTATAGTAAGTAGACATCATAGATTGATAGTAATTTGATATTTATGATAGTGAATATATGAACAGTAAACAGAATAGTATTATGAGCAAACGTATGTCAAAGTTTGAAAACATGAGCTCATTAGAACACACGAAAAGTCTATCATTTCCTTGAATCCCTCGATGTTAATAAAGTAATAATCATAAGAAGTTTCATTATAAAATATTTGTAAATAGTCAGTTTAAGTCGGTAGATGCCATAGAAGAGGAAACAAAATGGATAAAGTGTAGGTAGAATTAGTAAAATCGTCCAAATGTTTATTCTCTATACATTGATAAAACTGTACGTTTTATAAATGATAACTTCAATAAATTTCTTATGAGTGAATAATTCAGATTTCATAACTTTTGGAGTAATTGTAACTGATTTGTGAAGGAAAAGCCGATACCATCTGATGGTCAGTTAAGATAACTGAACCAGAGTTTTCCATCAAGACTATAGCTTTTTCTTTTTTCTTCATTATTTACAACTTAGCATCGAAGCTGTTCACTGGTGGTGTAATATTTTTTTCCAAGATATTCCTAGAATAAATACATTCTTATTGTATTAAGTCTCAATGGAGATGTCTGAAATAAAGAAATTATACATTATCCATACTATCTTGAAAATATACTAGATTTTTCCATATTGCAATTAATGTTTTATATAGGCCCAAGGTGTACTAGCAGAATTATTTATTATTTATTAGTCATCTAAAGAAAGAAACTATGACAAAACTTTGGTAGCACAATTCTTACTCATCAGTTTTTAGCAATTATTCTGTAGTAAAATTTGACATCTTCAATATGTTTGCGGCGACTCATTTTGGCAAAACACAGTCTGAAGTTTGAATATTCAAGAATGCTTATTTAAAATAGATGTGTAATTTTGGGAATTTGTTAATTCTAATGAATAAACTTTTAATGGCAAGTAGTCTTTTTCTGAGATAAAGTGTTAATGTTAAAAATAATTGAATTATCGTGAAAATCATGCGGTTATTAAAAATCATGTTATCAATGATATTTATGTAACTGACTTCATTAAAATCATACGACCCGTATTCTTAGAAAAAATTTTAATGACACCATAATAATTCTAATAGTGATAAATGTCCTTGACCTCACAAAAATTTATACAAGAATACATTTCATCAGGGTATCAACAAAAATACATATTTTTTATACGAACTACTAACAGTAGCTTGTACAAATTTGATAAAATTAGTCACATTACGCTTAACTAACTTTGGAGTTTTTATTTTAATCAGAAGGGAATTTGTGGAGATTTAGTATTTGCATAGTTGAAAACATTAGTCAATTGGAGCTGGACTACCAAGGAAAACCTGGAATCACTGGACGAGCGTTTCGTCCTATTGTGGAACTCCTCGGGAGTACGCATCCACGACCTCGCCTCGCGAGATTCAAACTCAGGACCTACCAGTCTCGCGTCAGTGCACTTAACCGATTGTATTTTAGCTAGAATTGCTAATATTCATTTATTACGGTCTGTAATTTTCATAACTATTAACTTTCATAGTAAACTGATTAGTGATAATATTTTTCAAAAGTCTAGGATTGCGTTTTGTACTGCGTACTTTTGAATCATAAACTCAGAATCAGTGAGTGAATACTTAAAAAGTGGCTACAGAATATAAGAATAATTCTAGTATTCACTTGTTAGCTGACAGTAGCAAAAGGAAACATTATTTGAGAATTCTTTCAAACATCTTGTTTTTAGACACTTATGACTGAATATTGTAGCTGTAAATAATTCCCCAAAATCAATAGCTTTGTAAGTGTTCGACATTGGATGCTGACCATATTAATTTTAGTGGACTCGTTTAGCTGAAGGCGCTTGGTCATGCATCCGTACCAGATCACGTTGCAGAACGACGTGGGAAGCATCCCCTACGATCATTAGCCAGATTAGATCAGTCACTTTTCGATATATTGATATTCCATCAAATATGTCTTCCAACCTTCTCGCTTCTGGCTTCTGATTTAGCTGGGTGGGCATGATTCGATTATAGAAGGTGTTACTGGTAAACAGTTGTCAAACTACAATACTGGTGGTATCTTTAATAAGGGTTTTTAATTAAGGTTGAAGTATATGAAAATGTTTTAAGAATACTGTTTAAAAATATTTCAATTCCTCAGGAACCGATGCATTACATAAATGTCTACTTTAACAGCATTCAAAGACCTGAATTAGAAATCTGATAGTTTGTTTGTCAAAAAAAATAAACGATCTAACTGATAATCGTGGGCATGTTATTAACT